CTGATTTTCTTGTCTTTATATGTGTATCAGGTACACTTATAGATCCTATTTACACTAATCTGATTTTCTAGTCTTTATATGTGTATCAGGGACACTTATAGATTCTATTTACACTATTCTGATTTTCTTGTCTTTATATTTGTATCAGGGACACTTATAGATTCTATTTACACTAATCTGATTTTCTTGTCTTTATATTTGTATCAGAGACGCTTATAGCTTCTATTTACACTAATCTGATTTTCTTGTCTTTATATGTGTATCAGGTACACTTATAGATCCCATTTACACTAATCTGATTTTCTAGTCTTTATATGTGTATCAGGTACACTTATAGATCCCATTTACACGAATCTGATTTTCTTGTCTTTATATGTGTATAAGGTACACTTATAGATCCCATTTACACCATTCTGATTTTCTAGTCTTTATATGTGTATCAGGTACACTTATAAATCCTATTTACACTAATCTGATTTTCTAGTCTTTATATGTGTATCAGGTACACTTATAGATCCTATTTACACTGATCTGATTTTCTTGTCTTTATATGTGTATCAGGTACACTTATAGATCCTATTTACACTAATCTGATTTTCTAGTCTTTATATGTGTATCAGGTACACTTATAGATCCCATTTACACTAATCTGATTTTCTAGTCTTTGTATGTGTATCAGGGACACTTATAGATCCTATTTACACTAATCTGATTTTCTTGTCTTTATATGTGTATCAGGTACACTTATACATTCTATTTACACTAATCTGATTTTCTAGTCTTTGTATGTGTATCAGGGACTCTTATAGCTTCTATTTACACTAATCTGATTTTCTAGTCTTTGTATGTGTATCAGGTACACTTATAGATCCTATTTACACTAATCTGATTTTCTAGTCTTTATATGTGTATCCGGGACACTTATAGACCCCATTTACACTAATCTGATTTTCTAGTCTTTATATGTGTATCAGCGACACTTATAGACCCTATTTACACTAATCCGATTTTCTTGTCTTTATATGTGTATCAGGTACACTTATAGCTTCTTTTTACACTATTCTGATTTTCTAGTCTTTTTATGTGTATCAGGTACACTTAAAGCTTCTATTTACACCATTCTGATTTTCTAATCTTTGTATGTGTTTCATGGACACTTATAGCTTCTATTTACACCATTCTGATTTTCTAGTCTTTGTATGTGTATCAGGTACACTTATAGCTTCTATTTACACCATTCTGATTTTCTAGTCTTTGTATGTGTATCAGGTACACTTATAGCTTCTATTTACACCATTCTGATTTTCTAGTCTTTATATGTGTATCAGGTACACTTATAGCTTCTATTTACACCATTCTGATTTTCTAGTCTTTGTATGTGTATCAGGTACACTTATAGCTTCTATTTACACCATTCTGATTTTCTAGTCTTTGTATATGTATCAGGTACACTTATAGCTTCTTTTTACACTATTCTGATTTTCTAGTCTTTGTATGTGTATCAGGTACACTTATAGCTTCTATTTACACCATTCTGATTTTCTTGTCTTTATATGTGTATCAGCGACACTTATAGCTTCTATTTACACTAATCTGATTTTCTAGTCTTTATATGTGTATCAGCGACACTTATAGCTTCTATTTACACTAATCTGATTTTCTAGTCTTTGTATGTGTATCAGCGACACTGATAGCTTCTATTTACACTAATCTGATTTTCTAGTCTATATATGTGTATCAGAGACACTTATAGCTTCTATTTACACTAATCTGATTTTCCTGTCTTTGTATTTGTATCAGGCACACTTATAGATTCTATTTACACTATTCTGATTTTCTAGTCTTTTAAGAATTTAACGTTGGTCTCACTAGCATTATTGGTGTGTAAACGCAGTTGATCACGTGACAAACTGAATAAATAACGAAGTCATTTACGTATGTTTGTGGTTTGATCAACTGCGTTTACACACCAATAATGCTAGTGTAATGAAATGAAATGAATGGAGTTTCACGTCCTACTTTTCTGCACCATATGGGCTAATGAAGACGGGCAACGCCATGCAGGGTGCAATGAGGGAAATTTTTCCAGGACAGCAACATCAGCCTGCCCTTTTCGATTTCCAACTGTCGATGGATCTCGGTTTAGGTTTATTGTCTAGGGCCTAGGTTTATTGTCCCATCCGAACGACTAGACACTTTTTCCATGCCGGCCCTCTTACCTGCATCACTGACAGGGGGAAACCAGGTTGAAAAATCCGAAGGTATTATCTCGACCTATGCCGGGATTGAACCCTGGACCTAATAATGCTAGTGAGACCAACGTTTAATTCTTATATTCAGATACTTTTATTAACACAATTTTCACTTTTTTATATGATCGCTTCCTTGAATTTGCCACAATCTTAGATTGCGTCATTGTTGGCGTGTAAACGCAGTTAATCAAGCCACAAATATAAATAAATGACTGTGTAATTTTTTCACTTTGTCACGTTTTCAAGTGCGTTTACCCACCAATAATATTAGTGAGACCAACGTTTAATTCCTATTCAGATACTTTTATTACGACAATATTCACCTTTTTATATGATCGGTTATTTGAATTTGACAAAAATCTTAGATTGCGTCATTTTCGTGCTTTGACGACGTCATAGTATCACGTGACAAACTACAGTTTATCGAAAATAAACGCCAGTTATCGTAACTAGTTAAGTGAAGGGACTGATAGTAGAAATGTGAATATTGTGATATAAACGCCAAATTTGTACAAGTCTAATGGACAAAACAATAGCTAATGTCAATATTTATCTATAACTTTATAACTTGTGCTTCTTTTATGTCAGTGAAGGATAATATATAAAATGGTTCACATCTTATGCTTGACTTACAGATGGTCTAAAAATTCAGGAGAGTATAATGTTAGAAATCCCGGGGGAGGGACCTAACCCGATATCTAGTTGAACTAGGTACGCCATCTGTTTGACAAATCGTACCTTAGTCTCCGAAACGGGGAATATTTAGCTAAGTTAATCAATTTTCGAGAATCCCCTCATACGCTCCATTAGAGACTTGTTACAAGACGCCTCCACAGTCACCTCATTTTGAATTCAGTCCTGACAGTTGTTACCCATTAAATCAGTCCGCCCTCTTATTCTACTCCCCATCTACTGTGACATTCTTCTTGAAACATGTTTTATTAATTTAGTAAAAATATAACACGACCCACTTTGACCTCTATTTCAGGCCTCGTCACCTGGACAGTCTTGGTTTTATTTACGGTACCAGTGAAGGCTGCAGAGGGTTCCTGCATGTCCTGTTCCTACTATTGCTCACAGACCGCTGAATCTAAAAAAGCTATGTGTAGTTGTTCAAACCGCTGCCTCGCCTGGGATAATTGCTGTGATGATTTTTTACAAGTTTGTACAGATATTGCGGATGAAACAGGTTATTTGGCGTCAGTGAAAACCAATGATAATGATACAGTGGAATTGCTGGGCCGTTATGGGAAATGCATTGACTACAGCAATATAGGTTATACCAAGGTTATTGGGAAATGTCCCACAAAATCCGACACTAATCTAGATAAAAAATGCAATGAAAAGCCACAGCATTTGATCCCAGTTCATCCCAAAAATAATACGCTATTAAACTTCGCAAACATTCACTGTGCGATATGTCACGGCCATAACGTGACGGACGTCACACTTTGGGATTTCAGCTACATCTGTCCGGCTAATAACGTCACAAGTCTTGAATTCATCAAAAAGGAATGTAAAATAAATTTTTTGTACAAAAGGCCCGAGGAATTAATCTGCTATCCTTTCGACAGACCTTCCTATACACCATCTAAGTTGAACAGTACCGACCTAGACTTGCTCTGTCGACACTTTATCCAACCTGTAGGCTTTAATGACTTGATCTACAAGAACGAGCACTGTGCCCAGCTGGATGGTGCAAATGAAACGTTACAGTGTCACCAACCTGTATATGGAGGCGACACCAGACCCGGGATAAATTCCTTGACAGTGTTATTCGACATGCAGAAGGGAACGGCAAACGTTAAACAAGAAACTATCAGATTGTGTGCTGTGAGTCAAATCTACGATCCTTTCTTGTCAATTTGCAGGAACCTTAATTGTCCAACATATCAATATCCGAGGTGGGGTAAGTGCTATCAAAACCAGTCCATATTTATCGACCCGGACACGCAGCCATTTCAAGATTTGAACGGATCGCTCAGTATGAATTTCACATATCATTTTATTGACGACTCCTACTTCCTAGAAATAGTTAAAGTTATGGATGTTATATCCGAAACTCGTATGTCAGGGCCAGTTTATGACAATCATACGTTAGCGAATTGTCAGTTAGAACCCAAATCGTATATCAATAAAACAGAAGTCACCTGTGTGTTCAAAAGCGAGATCTCTACTAGTGCGCCTAAATACTTTCTTGAAATGATGCTCTACAGTGATTGCGTTTCCAAGGCAACCTTATCCAATATGGCGTCAGAGGAAGTGACGTGTGTAGAAGGATATCATGTACAGATGTATACCAATGTTCAATTGAAGATAGTTGATGATGACCTGTTTGCTATGGTGGAATTAAAACACCAAACATTTTTCTATCATTTGTTCAGTATCGGGTTTACCCTTCTAGTTCGTGAATACCTTAATGTTGGTCGAGCTGCTGAAATCCATGTTTGTAAACAAGACATCAATTCAACCCTGTCCTGTCCTACCATAGTTTTCACATCCAACGAGTTCTATCAGCAGAACGACTCGATCGTAATCAAACACAGAAACAAAATCATTCCACAAGATGAGTTTAGAATCATTGACGGACAAGCTCATGTTTGTGAATTTCTCTCATCAATGAAGTTCCAATTTTTCAAGTTTGATGAGTTTCAGCAACTGGTATCCATGATCGTCACCGGTGTTTCCAGCTTCTGTTTACTGCTGTGTCTGTTTGTTTACATTCGGTTCGAGGAGATGCAGACTTTATCTGGGAAACTGAACGCCAGTCTCTGTCTCTGGTTACTGCTGGCTCAATTGTTGTTAATGATACATGGTTTTGAAGACTTGGTTTGTCGAGTGATAGCAACGATTTGTCACTTCCTGTGGTTAGCTGTCTTCAGTCAAATGTCCGCCATTGCTGTCAATATGGCCTTGACCTTTTACAGGATAACTCCAATAGTTTCATTGGACGCGGCTGCTCGTTTCAAACGACTCACTATAGTGGCTTTGACTCCACCTATGGTAATAGTAGCAGTATGTACTGGGCTAGATGTGGGTTTGACGAACGGGATGTTGAAGGTCGGATACGGAACAAGTCTATGTTCTTGGATTTCGAATGACATGGAAACCATTGTTATTTTTTTCTACACGCCGGTTTGTCTCAGTTTGGTCATCAATTTCGTGTGTTTTGTCATCACTTTATGTGGCATTGAGAAAAGTACCAAAGCGTCATCCATGGTTTCCCATGACACGACTCGCTCTGAACGACGCAAATGTGTGATCTATACCAAGTTGTCCTCCATCATGGGATTTACTTGGATCACTGGGATCATAGCGGCCATTTTGGAATACCCTGCTCTATGGTACATCTATATTATACTAAACGGGCTGCAAGGATTCTTTATTTTCCTGTCCTTCATCTGTAACCGACGAACAGTTAACTTGCTACGCCATGTATTCGAGGCTGATCGCAAAGAGATGTATACATCTTCAACAAAACCAGCGTCTAACTCAAGTCCCAAACAATATTAGTGTTATAATGGTATACCATATAAACTGATGATAACAATGTAAATTGTTGAAACGTTGTGTACAATAAAACTCAGGAGTACTATACTATAAACTGATGATGACAATGTAAATTGTAAAAAAGCTGTGTACAATAAACAAAAGGAGTAGTATACTATATAAACTGATGATGATAATGTAAGTTGTAGAAACGTTGTGTACAATAAACACCAGGAGTAGTATACTATATAACTGGTAATGGCAATGTACATTTTTGAAACGTTTTGTCCAACAACACAAAAAAGAAGTAGTATACCATATAAACTGATGATGACAATCGAAATAATTGTCCAAACATCATGTGAAAACCGAGTAATATTACATGGCATTTCCTGACGATAACGAGTGACATCGCTGAAACGTTGTTGTGGGGCTCAACATGAATGAGTTCTTCAACTTGGATAGCAGATTGAATATTGTGCTTCAAGGCTATGTGTCTATTTGTAAGTGAAATGAATGGAGTTTTACGTCATACTGTTCTTCACTATTGACCTATTTGACTGACCTGCTTGAGACAAATCAAATTGAAATGAATGGAGTTTTTTTACGTCTTACTTTTCTGCACAAATCAAATTATACAAGAGACATCGATCTATTATTGTGAAAATTATCAAAATATTTGTATGGTTTGAAGACAAACCTTCGTCCATTAGGAAAATAATCGATCTCTTGGTGTGTAAATAATAATGCTGAAAATGCTTAGAGCTATAGGATGTCAATAGACACCATCTAGAGGGTCATAGTAACCCTTTCACATCGACAGTATGAATATCGCAACATTTCTGACGAGTTATATAAAAAGAGTATCAGTTCATCGGCTACGTTGGGACACCGTAACCCCCAGGGCACACCGTAACCTAAAACCTTAAAGTTATTACCGCATAATCGTTTAATCTGTTAATTGATGTTAACTGACCGACTACGATTATCTTTAGTTATCTTACGCCTGACTGATTGGTCATATACATATACAGTAGTAATTATTGACTCTCAACATTTACAAAATAATTTAAGTGAGTGACCTATATTTGATAAAATTACCATATTTCGTTTTCTTTCTGTAAGATCTTGTATGCAGTAAAATGCAAAAATTAAAATTTACCGAATAAATGTATAAAAAAACACCAGCACCAATATTTTGTTCTGTAAAAATTTAAAGGAGCAAATCCTACGAAATTACCTTGACTTATCTTAGCAGATTGACTCTTTGGACAAAGAGTGGGTGTGGGGAGGAACGCTGTTATCTGTTGCCCATGCGGTTCACAAATTCACCTGCTGTCTGACACTATTAACTTTCCCAAATCTGATAGTCTGATAAAGGTTAGCCCTCGGGAAAGTCATTTCTAAAGTACACCATGCATTAAGTTAAGACACGATAAGTGATACAGCTTTTTATTGCAATGTTCTAATGTTTCTTGTGAAATTTCGGTAAGGACTCATGCTGTTTGAATATCTCTCCTTCTAGTTCAACTTTCGACTTAGCAAGCTTCAGACGGGATGTACAAGGGAGGCAGCCTGGAATACTATTGGTTGTGTAGCCTTGAAACGTTCTGGTATCTGTAGATCCGACTCCGTGACTCCTAATTGTAAAGTTATCTTAATGATATAATGAGAGTCTATAATAAACTGTAAGGAAAGATTTGAGGTGTCAATCAGTGTCTCATGTATAACTGACAATGGGGAACCAAGGTATCGTCATACTCCTGCTGTTCTGTAGTGGACTCTTAACCTCAGAAGCTTATTCCGGATTCTGGAACTGGAATAGCAATACGATACTAAAGTGGCCAAACGTTATTGAAAGAGTTGACGGTGGTATGGTTGTTGATTATTTACATTTCTACAAACAACTTCTAAAGGATTGCAATCTACTTCAACACGTTACAAGGGATAAATGTTCTGCTATGGAACCCTCGTGTTGCGCCTATTTTTGCTTTGCTGATTTTTGTGCCAAAAATTGCAGAAAAGACCCAGATGATAACAGTCGTGCCGTTCTCGAATTCTTCAAATTGCTTTCAATGACAAAATGTTCCGTATTTTTCGAAGCCGCTAAAGATTGTACTGAAGGTGATGATAGTGCCGAGTGCAAAGTTTTGGAAAATCTTCTCGATGCCTGCTCTACCAAGTTTCCGATGTTTACCGCTACATCCCCAACTGTAAGTCCAACTACAGCTGGAGTTGTAAGCCTTACAACATCACCAGCAACAAGTCCCACAACTTCACCTACAACAAGTCCTGCAACCTCACCAACAGTAAGTCCAACTACAGTTAGAATAGTAAGCGTTACAACCTCGCCAGCAACAAGTCCCGCAACCTCACCAGCAACTAGTCCCGTAACCTCACCCGTAACAAGTCCCTCAACCTCACCAGCAACAAGTCCCGCAACCTCACCTACAACAAGTCCTGCAACCTCACCAGCAACAAGTCCCGCAACCTCACCAACAACAAGTCCTACAACCTCACCAGCAACAAGTCCCGTAACCTCACCAGCAACAAGTCCCGCAACCTCACCAACAGTAAGTCCAACTACAGCTAGGGTAGTAAGCCTTACAAATTCACCAACAACCAGTCCAGCAACCTCGCCTACAACCTCACCAATAGGGGGAGTGTTTTATTGCAATGTAATGGGCATATCAGGACGTGTTCAAATGCCAGTGTCTAAATGGTGTGATGGAGTCGAGGATTGCACACCAAATGGTGAAGACGAGAAGTCACAGAATTGTGGTAAGTTTTATTGTAACATGACATTATTTTGATAAAGGGACAAATTCGTCATTCGTTTGGTCAATCGTATCTTTATCTCGGAAACGTGATGTTTTAGCTACACCAATCAGTAATAGTGTTCACAGCTCATCGTCGAAATATGAGCCTTCAAATCCACGTTTGCCCGGAATTATCCGCTTTTTAAAATTAAAAAGACGACTTTTCTTGATACGATTTTTAAAGGAATAATGCGTTTTTCGTACATATCTAATACCTCTGAAAAATCTTTACATATATTCAAGATGCAAATCAACCCCTGAAATACCGAATCTGTCCCTGTGCAGAAATGTAGACGTTCATCGCCGCTTCAACACGTTCGAAACGATTACATATTGATAGGGCGTTTCACTGTAACAGGTAAACCTCATATTAGAGACCAGAGGTATTTCAGCTTCATGATGTCTTGTTTTTCCCAAACCGGCCAATCAAAACGATATCATGCAGCCATTTCATCTTGTTTTGTAAAATGTAAGAAGCCCGGTAAATATATCTGAAGCTCGGTATTAGCTATTGGTGACCACTTACAGGATCTTAATTTGACGCTTGATTAAATAATGAAAGTTTTAACCACTCTTGAATGCTTATGTTTGTACAGTCTGGATAAACAAAAAAAGATTTTTGACCTTTCTTGATCTGAAAATAATAAAATATATTTGAACCAACTTCGAATGTGGTTAAATATCTTCTCCATTAAAGATGGGTTTCCTTATTTTTTTAGAGTCAAATTAAGCAAACTATTTGACAAATTGGTGTTTTTAATGAATGATCATGTATTCTTAATCATATCATTATGTTCTTATTGCATATAATTAAGAGTTTTAACCACTCTTAAATGCTTTTGTTTGTGCAGTCTGGATAAACAAAAAAAGACTTGTTGACTTTTCTTGATCGGTCACTCATTGGAATTCTGCTGGTAATTCTCTTCTAATTTAGCTAATTATGAATTAATTATGGACATGTGAGACAAACTGGTATTTTTCCAACTCATTAGAACAATTCTACTTTCTATTCATATAAGTATTGGCATTTTTATTTCAATAAATGAAAATAAGGGAACCCATCTTTAAGTCTGTTGATTTAACTAAAGATGGTTTTTTTTCAGATGGTTGTAACGCCGGAGAGTTCAAATGTAAAAACAGTGACACTGCATGTCAGCCGGCTATCCTCATCTGTGATGGCGTCTCTGATTGCTCAAATGGTTTTGATGAAAATACGTCCAGATGTACACCGTGAGTGCCGAGGTATGCTAGATAACAGATAATATCAATAACAGATAGCAACATTTTGTCGAAATCACGTCCGAGTATGATCATGTCGAATTTCTATCATTTTCGAATTTGTCATTTTCAAGTTATGTCATGTCCGAGTAAAATAATGTCCGAGTAGAATCTTGTCCAAGTATAATCATGTCCGAGTTTAATCTTGTCCGAGTTGAGTTTAATCTTGTAAACATAAACACTTGGGACGATGTCCGAGTTTTCGGTTTCGACGGTAAGTGTTTATTGAAAAAAATGACAAAACTCGGACATGACAAAGCTCGGACAAGACAAAACATCGAAATGACAAAACTCGGATGTGACAAAACTCGGATGTGACAAAACTCGGATGTGACAAAACTCGGATGTGACAAAACTCGGACATGATATAACTGGGACATGATAAAGTCAGAATGTTCAATTCAGTTAAGCCGAGCCGGAAGTCACATCTGCATTCTGAAACGTGATAAATGTTGTCTTTCGGACAGTAAAAGAGTTATTTTTATCACCATTTAAATCTTATTTAATTCTACGTTGGAGTTGATAGTGTATATTTATTTAGTTATATTTAGTTATATATTTTATTTTGTAAATTATATTACGGTAGTTTTATTTATATATAGACCGAAACATCTGTCTCTATTCCAGACTCTGATAGCTATTTTGACTGTAGTCACCAACTGTCAAAATATCTACCAGATGCTGGAATATAGGCAGATGTTGCCAAATAATTTGTATATAGATAGATTGAACATATTAAGTTTCAACGACTAGCACGGGCACACGACGAGACAAAAATCTCTAGTTGGTCGTTTTCCACCTTGCGGGGCATGTAACTGAAAGGAAAAGGAATCTGATTGGATGATGACGATAAAACTATCGGAGACAATTATCAAACTTGTTTGATATTATTTAATATTTAATCCTGTCGGCGATACGATAAAATTATCGTGGAAGCACGGGCACACGCAAGATTCGAGTCGGAGACAAAAATCTCCGACCAAGACCGCTCGTGTGCCCGCACCTTTTGCCTAAAAACTTTAATCGAAGTCCCACCTTCATTAACCCACACGTTAACCCAACAGAACGTTAAACGTGTCACCATCCAGTTGATTACAGTAGCAGTTTCCTGTAACTATGGATACAAATAGGGGATCAGACATCGTATCACGAATAGGGGTTTTGACGTATATGACAAATGGAGGTGTTGTTTGGAAACGATGGGGATCTGACTGACTTGATAAGGTTAAAATTCACAATCTGCCAGCCCTGATGAAGCATCATAAGCGCATGCATCTGAGGGGGTTCTTACTCAAGAAATTTTCTGAAAAAAATTGATTGGATTTGGTGAATTCTGACAAACATTTTGGGTTAAAAACGTATAAACAACGATATTTTTTAATTTGTTACAAATAAGTCGGGGTACAATTCAGTTTCTAGGGGGAAGGGGGCAAATGCCCTCTTGACACCCACCCACCTTCAACCCCATCTGGCGTCGCCATTGGGTCGAACAATTTATATGATCGTTTCACACATCTGACGAGAGGTAGAGTATGAAGGATTGGGGGTAGGGGGCTGAGGTACAAACTTACAAATATTTTACACGAGAATTACTTGTTGATAAACAGCTCTGTAACTATGCAGAACCTCGGACACTGTAGGTCTTTCTGGGGGCGACTCGTCTTTACATAGGGTATTAATTTCAAACAATTTTAACAATACGCTCGTCGATCCTGGCACGTTACCCAATAACAATTTACAAACATCCGGGATCTTCCATATATCTGTTTTTTCGTCGTACCCAGGCATCTTGCTATCGTCAAAGTCTGTTGAATCATCGGGCCAAAGTTGCTCTGGGGCAACATAATCCCCAGTCAGCTCTCGGTGTCCACATTTCACAAGATTTTCCGTAACTCTGTCAACTACGGGTAAAGCATCGGCGTCATTTAACAACAGAGTCAAATCGTCCCGGATTAAAAACTGACTCAAGGCTTTCACGGGATCGTTGGAATCGCACATAACAAACTTGCCCTCGGGTCTTGTATGTAAGAATTCAATAATTTCAATGTACTCCAGACAAAACTTAAACCTTGTTTTTAAAGTATTTAGAAATGCATGTTTGTTTAAAATATTTTCCAAATGTTCTGCCGAGGTCAATGGGTGATACTCTGTTATAAATATGTTTGATTTTTCACAAGATCCGAGAAGCTGCACCACTTTATTATCGGGTTGGAAAAGTTTTAGATTGGCTAACCCATCCTGAAAATCGTGTCTATAGTCTTGATTCTTTAGCTCGTTTATAACTACAGTAAAGTTTTTCCAATATCCCAGCCGAACCTGAAAAATTTCGGTTTCAAAATTAAGAAATAAAAGAAACCAGAATATACAGTAGCCTATTGTTATCACTGTGTAACCAAATGGATAAAATACTCCTCAGTGGGCTCATGAACACAAGCAACGATATGCAATCTGGAAATTTATGCCTGGTCAAAGGTATGCAATATACAATAAGGGAAATTTATTTTCGATCTCCGATAGCTGGGAGATCTTTCACATGTAAAAACCAATCTGAATAACTAGACCCTTTCAACAATGAAACCCAGTGGTCCTCGGACCAGAGATGCTTAGTTTGCCCCTTAATATATTACAATTATTCTGATTAGGCAATACAGCAGATAAATATATCGGTAACAAGAGGGTTTGATGGTTAATAAAAAAAATACTTGAAAATCTTACAGTTTTAACAGCACCCTGGCCAATTATCTCTCCATGTTCTACATCAGTTAGTATGGCTTCACAAGTCAACCAGGGGACACAACTCGTTATACCAGGAAGGCTGAATTCACCATGTGAACACTTCGGCCTACAAATCGTAGTGTTGTTGATTAAACTAGTGATACAATAACTGTTGTCTGTAGTCTTTAGAAATATCCAGAGTAGATAACTTATCACAACTACACCGAGTACTTGACACCACATTAATGGACACTGAAACAAAAAACTTATTTTTTACCAAGTCTACATCTTCAATTATTCTCTAAAAAAATTTTATCTTTAATCAAATTCTACAACTTTGTTTCTAACTCTGGGTTATATTCTAGAAGGTGATTCACTGTTGTACTATTGTCTGTTTATAGAAACACTAGACATCGCCTAACTCTGGGTTATATTCTAGAGAGTGATTCACTGTTGTACTATTATCTATTTAATGAAACACCAGACATCACCTGGGTTATATTTTAGAGAGTGGTCCACTGGTGTACTATTGTCTGTTTATGGAAACACCAGACATCACCTAACTCTGGGTTATATTCTAGAGCGCAGTCCACTGTTGTATTATTGTCTGTTTAATGAAACACCAGACATCACCTAACTCTGGGTTATATTCTAGAGAGTGATTCACTGTTGTACTATTATCTGTTTAATGAAACACCAGACATCGCCTTACTCTGGGTTATATTCTAGAGAGTGGTCCACTGGTGTACTATTGTCTGTTTAATGAAACACTAGATATCGCCTAACTCTGGGTTATATTCTAGAGAGTGGTCCACTGGTGTACTATTGTCTGTTTATGGAAACACCAGACATCACCTAACTCTGGGTTATATTCTAGAGCACAGTCCACTGTTGTATTATTGTCTGTTTAATGACACACCAGACATCACCTACCTCTGGGTTATATTCTAGAGAGTGATTCACTGTTGTACTATTATCTGTTTAATGAAACACCAGACATCGCCTTACTCTGGGTTATATTCTAGAGAGTGGTCCACTGGTGTACTATTGTCTGTTTAATGAAACACTAGACATCGCCTAACTCTGGGTTATATTCTAGAGAGTGGTCCACTGGTGTACTATTGTCTGTTTATGGAAACACCAGACATCACCTAACTCTGGGTTATATTCTAGAGCGCAGTCCACTGTTGTATTATTGTCTGTTTAATGAAACACCAGACATCACCTAACTCTGGGTTATATTCTAGAGAGTGATTCACTGTTGTACTATTATCTGTTTAATGAAACACCAGACATCGCCTTACTCTGGGTTATATTCTAGAGAGTGGTCCACTGGTGTACTATTGTCTGTTTAATGAAACACTAGACATCGCCTAACTCTGGGTTATATTCTAGAGAGTGGTTCACTGTTGTACTATTGTCTGTTTATAGAAACACTAGACATCATCTAACTCCGGGTTATATTCTAGAGAGTGGTCTACTATTGTACTATTGTCTGTTTACATAAACACCAGACAACACCTATCTCTGGGTTAACCCTGTTTGCATTTAGAAGTTCTACACCATGTTTCTCGCGAAATGTCAATATAATGTATTTCAAATGTGGAATTTCACAATGAGAGATGCCACACTTATCATAAAAATTTATTTTAACAGTTTTTGAAAAACAAGGCCGGGCCATCAGAGAACCAATTAAAAGTCAGTATTTTGCATAAATATTTATTTCATTTATATACAAAACAAATACATAATACAAACATTCAATTGATATTTATCATCTGTTATAACTAGGGCTGGTTAAACTGATCAAAATAATCGATTATCATCGCTAGGAATTTATAATTTCAGTTATTGTTTATCAAATTTCATAATCGATTATATCAAAGTTACATTTTCTCTACTGTACCCATTAACAAGGTTCCACATAGGTTCACTTCAGCACATAACATACCCACAATAAACTATAATAACTGAGTAAGAATATACTTCTATGACGCAAAAATTACCCATGAAATTAAGAATTTTGGCTTGTTTTTAATTTAGTATTTTCAAGGTTTCTCAATTAAATTATTTTGATTATTAATCAGTAGTCTGCCATCAATAATTTATCTCAATTTGCTAATCGATACCCAGCAAGTGTTACAATAGGGAAATTACAAGTGCAACAGTCCAAGTGAAATCCATGTAAAAATTACCTCATTTCTTACTACAAAGTATTACCTGTCTCAATTAGCCCAGTCAAACACAGACAAATACAATCTCAATCCTTCATTCATTTATTCAAAATTTTCAAATCTTACCAACACTTTATTTACAGGCTTAAAAACAAAAAAATTAAAATAAAACCTTTAGCAAAATATTCATTTTTTGTGAAAGCATCATTATTCATGTAGGGATCTATGCAAAAATATACGAGAATACTTTTAATTAACAGAAATCCATACAATCAAAATGACATGGTAGGCTACACAAACTGATGAAAGAAATTCTAAAAAGTTCTGAGGTTTACTAGTAGTAAATAACTACCTTCTGTATCTATTCATCAGTGGACTAAACAGGTACAATCATAAGTATTTATTCAAAAACGCTTTAAATCATAGTCTACTGATGAATACCTATTCTTATTGGCCAAGTTTGAGACCTTGAAGTTTATGTTCATTCTAAGAGTTAGTAAACCTTTAAACTTTATATTTCAAACATAATAAAAACCTGCAGTAAGCTTGTTATTTTACCATAAAACCACTTCATAATGACTAATTTGAGCACTTTATGGAATAAGAATTAAAAACATGTTATTATTTTTATCAGTAAAACAACATAAAATGACTAAATTTCTTGCACACCTCCACCACTGTGTTTAAAATTAAACATTAACAAGACCGAAATAATTAAATGATCTGACAAATACAAAAACATTCCTCATTCTCTTAATGTAATTTAACTAGCCTCCCCTCCCATCCCCAGCTCTACAACGATCAGAAGGTTTGACAAATACCAAACTAATCAAAATACCCTTCAAGATATTTAGTATTAATACTTATTATTTTTCACAATGTTACGAAAGAAATGATATTGATGTCAATAATCATTCTTCCTAATTCAACAATTTTGGTATAATTGATGAAAATCTAAGATTCAAGATCGATATTTTAGTGCCACTTTTGACTAGCTGTAGGGTGGTTGGCATGTATTCTCAGCCCTCAAATCTGAATATTCATCAGAGTGGTCAAATCAAATCATTTTCAGCCTTGATCCAGTTTCCATTATCTGAATTTAACTATCATGTAACACACAAAAAACACAAACAGTGCGAACATTAGAATATAGCAGATGAATTTATGTCCTCCGGCCTTCGCGATGGCTTTTAACCTTGACATTGAAGAGGAGAGAAGTCCGCCAGATTTATCAAAATCATTGTCCATGTCCAACAACATTTTATTCTGACTGCGCACCTCGTTTCCTATGTCTATTGTCAAAGAACGTAAAGTCGACACTTTAGATGAAAGCTGATCTTCTATTTTTTGGCTCTCATCATCTAACATTTGTGTTGTGGGCATATATCCCTGTTGTTCATTTCCTATATTTGCCCTCCTCATTTTGTCGTGTTTTTTTTTAAACTTTGATTAAATTTTTATTTTGCAGTGAATTGTTCTGAAAAGAGACAGAAATTAGGGAAATTATGCTTTCATAACCAAAAACATCAGTAAAAAAAGGCAAGGCCAAAGGACATGAATAGATATTCAATGAGAGATTGATAATTTTTCAACTCCATAATTTGAGGATGATCTGTAGTACCGGTATGGCTGGTTGGAATTTTTAAATGACAATGTTTAGACCAGATGGATTCTTGTGAACCTGTGTTGTTATCCTTGTAAACAATGAATGGTTATCCCTTGTGACAGTTGAACTTGTGAGGTAGGCTAGGCCTAAGGATGTGGCATATTGTTGTATCTTATTCCAGCCAAATAATTTTTACTGGCTCAGGTCAGTGTCGTCTTTAAAAAGCTTCACATAAATTTCAAATTGTGACATTGCTTTCTGACCCAACACCATCCATAAACCATTCAAAATATCTATCAGAGTCTTAAAACAATTAAATTTGGGACTATGCCTAACTCAGTATCTGAGGAAACCGACCGACACAGTCAAAATCAAAATAAACTTGATGAAAATCAACTAACCTAAATCAAAAGATAACCTTAAAAAGACAAATAGTTCTTCATGACTATCTCACTGTGGTTAAAATCATTAGGTCCCATGTATTTTTAGAAACATATGGACATCATCGCCGTAAATTTTAAAGTTTTATCTCTTCGACACGTCAGATGTAAACACACGACAGTAGTACTTGCTTTCTTGTTTCTTGATCACGCGAAAACTCGTCAACATTTTCGAAAAACGATTTAATTTTTGTCAGCCAATCCTATTTTTCGCAATTTCTTGAGAAATATTTAAGAATTTCAACACAAAAATTAATTATGCCTTTACAAACAAAATTTACTCAATAATTCTTTTAAATATAGCAGATTGAAGGATTTCGATAAGCAAGTGCAACCAGCGTGCCTTTAAAAACGTAAACACAGTTTCTTTGTTATTTTCGTTCTAAAACGGGTCTTAGTTAAGATTCACAAAAATGTGACTCTATTTATCATCTTGGGGAAACTTGACTGAACAATTAAAGAATACAATTAACTCAAACCTGACTCACGGTCGTGAAAAAATTCGCATCACAAGGTAATCTGGCACACCTGCCCTCTCCAAGGGAAATCTCCGTTTATGACGTCATTATTTCTCTAAACCGGTTTAGGTTTACAGTGTATTGTGATGTGCAACTGAAACCGGTTTGATTTAAGGGAATTCCTCATTATCACGTGATATTTGATAAACGTCAAAATACATTTCCGGGGTTGTATGTGAAACTACTAAAATATGTTTACATTATAACTGTGAGAAATCACTCCACACGACAAGAAATTCAGAATATTTTAGACTATGTAGCTTAGGACTTACTGATATTGTGGATTTAGAGTTAGTTAGTAGGATTCTAAGGAAACTCAAGAAATATGAAGACGATTACCAAAGTTGAAGTTGTAGAAGTAGAAAAAAGGAGAATTCCCAGTAAACACTATGTAAGTATTACCATGTTATGGTCAACTTTTTTGACCCGGGTGTTGTATGAATTATTTTCATTCATCTTATGTTCCTATGTCATAAGAAACTTTTTTTTAAATAACATTGCAGGCGCAACAAAGCTTTGTCACCCAATCATCAACAAGCACTCGGGGCAAACAATACTCTTTCTCGCTACAAACAGATCTGTAGAATATTGTTAGGGATGCAGAGAATGCTTAGTCCTATGTCCCCCCTCCCCCTCAACACATTGTTTTATTGGTCCTACAAACTCAGTCAGTAAAATGTGGAAAAAAATCGTTTTTTTTAACATAACATAGTAATATGTGGTAGAAATTTAAGGATTAAAATGAGGTTTTGGCGAATTCCCAACTGATCTCCCATGTTTCCTGTTAATACCAGAAAAACAAGGCCAGATATTGATGCAATTGTTCTTTTTTTTATGATATTAGCATCTATAATTATCTGATCAGTTGTAATAAATATTACTTGTATCCCCAGTAAACTTTGTAATGGCTAGAAAACTTCTTTTTTGAATCTCTTACAATTAATATTATATATGATAAGGAAGTAAAAGATATAATTTATAAACATTGAACTAGATAGTTTGAATAAGCTTACAAACCAACATAAAAATAATATATGACATTAAAAATACTTGTTTTATCTAGTACCAGTACGTTCAGTATTTTCTTAGACCTATTCTACTCCTTTTACTGGGATTACAGAATAACCTCTTATATTATGCAGGATGCGAGGCACCTTGGTAATGAATTGTTACTGCTCGCTTTCATAGTGTTTTAAGAATGATTTAAGCCTCTAACAGAAAGATAAAAAGGAGTAATGCTGCTGTATTAGCAAATATTTCCATCACTGCGCACTGAAATCATTTTGCACATCTTCTTTAGACCAAGAGGGAGGAGAAGAGTAGGAGGTAACTTCCATCTTTTAATTCACATCTGACTGTTGACTAAATCATTTATTAAAGGAACAGAGACATCATTTTGGGGGATTGAGTTGATTTAAGTTTTGATACTAGAAATGTAAGAAAATCACAAAATTTCTACAAAAAATATCTGAAAGTAGGAATTTGTTTTCCTATTACTTGTCTATATATGGCAGTGTCTAAAAAAAAAGATGACTCATCTTTTAAACTTTCAAACGCAGATAATTCTGGATACACAAGGATTTGAAGGCTCCAGTTTCGCTGTGAACACTATTACTGATTAGCTTAGCTAAAGAATTCCTGTTTATGAAACTAAAGTATGATTGATAAAAAATGGTACAGCTGTCCCATTAACTATATAAAACCTGTGACTGAGTTGATTAAAACCTGTGATTATTTGACCTACTATACCTACAGATTACATATAGCCTGGTGTTATTATAATAATGTTATAATGTTCACTATTAACCCTGTGGTTTTTTTATCTACGCTGGTAAATTATATATAATACACTGATTGACTTCACAGTTTACACCTCATTGATTTTATATATTTTAAACTGCTCTATGATTTGAATATAACAATACTCTATTCAGAAAGAAATGGATTAAGCTTAGTCTTGATGTGTTCTTTTACTCAGTATAAAAAGTTCTAAGGTAGATACATTGACAATGTTGTTCCTATGATGTTTGTTAAAAGACGGTATTTATCAACATCAATGTTTGGCTCACCACCGTTATTGGCTGAAGCAAAATTTTATTTAAACACTTTAAATTAAGGCTTCCATCTAGATTCTAGAACTCTAGTCATTTGAGCAATCAACTAGAGCTTTAGTCTAAAAAAAATCGTAAATACAACATTAGTCAGACAAGACTGGTAAATACAGCCAAATCCACTGTCTAGAGCTCTAGTCAGACAAGACTGGTAAATACAGTCAAATCAACAGTCTAGGGCTCTATTTAGACAAGACTGGTAAATACAGTCAATTCAACAGTCTAGAGCTCTAGTCAGACATGACTGGTAAATACAGTCAAATCAACAGTCTAGAGCTCTATTTAGACAAGACTGGTAAATGTAGTCAAATCAACAGTCTAGAGCACTAGTCAGACAAGACTGGTAAATATAGTCAAATCAACAGTCTGGAGCTCTAGACAGACAAGACTGGTAAATACAGTCAAATCAACAGTCTAGAGCTCTAGACAGACATGACTGGTAAATAAAGTCAAATCAACAGTCTAGAGCTCTATTTAGACAAGACTGGTAAATATAGTCAAATCAACAGTCTAGAGCTCTATTTAGACAAGACTGGTAAATATAGTCAAATCAACAGTCTAGAGGGGGGAGGCGTGAGATGGATTGCCCCCTTGAACATCTGATCAATTACATTATTGCAAGTTAACATCATACACCATTGTCCCTTCTGATATATAACTTACCCCTCCAGATCTGGCTATAGGCCTGATACAACTTCTATTATATTTATTATGATATGGGGTAATAGATTATTTTATACTACTGTATGTTGTATTTTGAGCTGGCTTACTTCCCCACCCCATTTTCTTTGACAAACAGAAAGCCATGACTGAAACTATACTGTTATTAAAACACAATGGAATATTGGTCAATATTTGTAAATAAAAAACAAGTTTATATTTAGCCTGTTTGTTTGTATGTTTTGTTTACTCTCTGCAATAAACAAACATTATTTTTATACAACAGGTTCACAGCATATTTGTTTTAAATTATGAGAGGTTTAGATTCGATAAAAAATATTAAGGTGGGCAAAATGGGGTCAAAAACTGTTATTCGGGTCGAATTCGAAAAGTCTATTCTATGAGGTTTTGTCTTTTAGTTTTGATGTATTAACTTGGATAATAGACAATTTGATTTTACAAATGAGGACAGTATTCATAGCCAGGATCAATGGGTCCTAATGAAAAAGCTAATTTTGAAGGTTTGAATTATTTTGTGGTTATTCTTATAAAATCAGAGAAAGATCAATGCTATAAAGAGGTTTGACCAATGAAAAGCTAGTTAACAGACCGTGGCAGATTCTCGATATGATTTAAGCGCTAAGGCGTCTGTGGGTCTTAACTTCTAAACCTGTGACTATATCCAAGCACTGAGATGGTTTTGAGAAATTCTGGCCAGGATTCTTGAAAAAAGTATCTTTTTTCAGATAGATCATTTAATAACAAGAAAAAACATGACAACCCGTATTCTTGTAGGGTTATTATTGAATTTAAACTGAGTTGTAATCAGGCCCGTAGCTTCAGACAACTAAAAGCCTTAGAATCGCTCTTTGTCTATATAAAATGATAAAAACAGGACATATTTAACGTTATGGTTGAAAAATTTCAGGGGGGGGGGGGGGGGGGGCAAAGC